TTTAGCTGGTGAAAATACTAGTGTTCTAATCATTTTGGCCACCACTGTATATAAATGTCTTCCTTTCGTAGCAGAAAAAAAATAGATAATAAGTAAAACAGCATCAGCAGTTTCCATTCACTTTCATTGTATGAAACAGATGCAATGAAACGGACACTGAGACTCCGTCACTAACATTCTAAATAGCATCTCCTTTTGTGTTTCAACAAAAAAAAATCAGTCATTCAGGTCTGGAATGACATGACAGTGAGTCTGACAACAGCCAGTGCTCCACACAGAGATCTGATCTCCTCATCATCCAGTCTGTCTGGAATGACATGAAGAAACTGAGACAGACTAAATCCAGAAGAACTGTTGCAGGGTCTCTAAGATGCTTCAAGAAACCTATACCTGCAAAACTACAGTACTGTTAAAAGTTTTAGGCACTTGTGTAAAAATGCTGTAAAATGAGGATGCTGTCAAAAATAATGTCATTAATAGATTTTCTTTATCAATTAACTTGTATTAACTAAATTAAATCAACATTTGGTGTGACCATCCTTTGTGTTTAAAGCAGCTTTTGCCCTAGGTGTAGCAGAGACATCCACTATATTAAGCATTTATTAAAAAATAAATGAAAAAGCCTGAAATAAGCAGCACTTTAGAAAAAGCAATTAAATCAATATACACTACTCCAGGATATTGTTACTGTGTGTGCGCACATCATCCTTGTTACAATGTTCCTCATTAGCACACCAAAAAATATTCAAAAAAGTAATACTATATTAAAAAAAAATTTATTTTAATGCGCATTTTGTTAATTGCGATCAAGAAAGATCATAACCAGCTGGAAACAAACATTACTTGAAATGTCATGTCCGCCGGAGATAAACCATTTAGTATGCATATGATCCTGACAGTCACTCACAACTGCCACCGGCATTATGGGCTTTGGACTGATTTATAGATAAAACATAGAGCTCTGTCTGCTATTTGAGAGGCTGATCCTTTTATCTCTTACACGGTTACAAAATATTTTAGGATTACAGCAGCTTCCGATCCATCTGTGGATTGTTTCATAAGTAATACAATAATACAAAGTGCATATTTTGCAATTTGTTCTCTTGAACAACTATAGGCTAAACAGTACAAGGGTAAATGGTAAGATTATAACAGTTAATTAATGCCAGAAATATTTCAATACTTTCAGAACCGTTCAAAATTGCTGTCAGGAACCTATTTTACAACTATAAAAAATTAAATGAACCATATAAGTGTTTGGTTTGCCATATTCAAAGCATACATGTGGCAATTTCTGCACAAATAACAACCATCAGAAACACTAATAAATTGGCATGACTGGCAAATAACATGACTTCTTTTTATCCTGAGATTTCTGAGAGCTCAAATACTGTTCTACCTTAAAGGGATAGTTCACCTAAAAATGAAAATTCTGCCATTAATTCCTCACCCTCATGTCGTTCCAAACCCATAAGACTTTCGTTTATCTTCAGAACACAAATTAAAGGTGCAGTAGGAGACCTTGGAAAATGCTAACTTTAGCCTGATAGCACTGAAAGCGAATGTCACACCCTCCCTGCAATCGCCATCCAAAGCCACGCACCCTGAACGCATTTACGCTCACAGACCAGAACACAGTCAACATTACTACAATAGCCTACATCAGCGGTTCCCAATTCCAGCCCATGTTCCGAAACGAAGTAAACTTCAACGGATTTCACCTGCTCAGGGAGGAGGGAGCAATGAACACTGTGTAGAGATCATATGGATCGGAACACAGTTCATGCAAGTAGCTCACTTCTAACGAGCTGGTTATCTGAATCGCGAGGACTGGAATTGGGAACCGCTGGGCTACATCATGTGTCATTCACCGGTGAGAAAACTTTAAAAGTACTACAATACCAGGAAGGAAGATGGGGTTGTTGATGTTTCTCTGTCTGCACAGTGTGCGTGAACGCGCTGATGACGTATCCTATCTGCACGAACCAGGTGCGCAGAGGTATGCAGATACTTACGTTGACAGGCAGGTAGGAAAGCCAATTAAAACACTCGGACCAAGCATTTTGATTGGACGAACATTTCTTGGTCCTACACCTTCCACAGAATATATAAATACATTTAGACCACTTAACTTAATGATTGCTATGGGGATGTGAAGAGACTTTCAACCAGCATAACAAAGAATGTTTCTGAAGACAATCACCCTATTGCATCTTTAAGACATTTGTTGAAATCCAAGAGCTTTCTAACATCGTTAAAGTAGTTCATATGACATCAGTGGTTCAACCGTAAGGCTACGTGAAGCTACGAGAATACTTTTTGTGCGCAAAGAAAACAAAAATAATGACTATATTCAACAGTTTTTTCGTCTTGAACACACTGTCACGATAGTACCACAACACATGCGTGTGGTGCTCCTGACACAGACGCCAGCATTCTGATGTTCTGACTATTTTAACAATGTCCTTACTTTGTGGGCCTTGAACATTTAAGTTGATTTGCTGTATATGCAGGGTCAGAAAGCTCTCGGATTTCATCAAAAATATCTTAATTTGTGTTCCAAAGATGAACGAAGGTCTTAGGAACAACACGAGGGTGAGTAATTAATGATATAATTTTCATTTTTGGGTGAACTAACCCTTTAACCCTTTAATTAACCCTTTAAACAACAAAATAAAATAGTTTCATCATTTAGCATTATGTGGAACACAAAAGAAGAAGACATTTTGAAGATGGTTGGGAACCAAACTCAAAATGTCTTCTTTTATGCCCCAAAAAAGAAAGAAAATCATGCAGGCTTGTAACGAAACAAGGGTGAGTAAATGACAGAATTTTCATTTTTGCATGAATTATCCCATTAAGCCACCTCAAGTAGCAAAGTGATGTACAGTTCATGTACAGTTGCTCAACTACTGTGATTTCAAGTTTCAGTGACCATAAATAATCTCTCAGACCATTAATAACTTTGGCTCACTCCCACAGAGGCTCAAATTCTTCCAGCCGCAGGGTCATGGCACCATGGAATCCTCAACAGCACATATGTATATATTTATAAACATAGTTCCAATGACTATGAGCATCAAGAAAGCACAACAGCCACAGCACACTCAGCTGGATTCTTTTTTTTTTTTTTTTTTTTTTTTTTTTTTTTTTTTTTTTTTTTTTTCCTGTTTTTTCCCCTG